ATTGTGGAAGTGGAGAAAGAGTAAGAGGAAAGTAAAACAGAGGAAAGACTTACGGGAAAAGGAAGAAATGAAAAAATGGTTGTAGAATTGTAGACAAACAACTTTATTTTTATAAAAGTAATAAACAATTTTTTTTACACATTTTATCAAAGTCTTAGAGTGGTTTGTTTGTGGTTTTGAGAATTTTATTAACCAAATGGTCAAGCTACCCAGACATGCAACTGAGCAGCCAACTGCTTGGCCTCAATGAAAATTGTTTTTTTTTTTCCTGTTTTCTTTTTTCTTTCTTTCTTTTTTTTTAAATTTTATTTGCTATTTCTCTTGAAGCCTTCTCCAATTTTCTTCGTTTCTTCATTTTTTTCTCCCACTGGTTTCTCTGTTCCTCACAAGCATTTGACTGCAACACCCTCCGGATCTCCAACTCCTCCTCCTGTTACAGCTGCAACATGGATATACCTGCATGATCATTTTTATTCCATTTTAAATTTATGATAAGCTCACCATACTGAGTCAAAAACAAAAAATAGCCCATAACCAGCTTAGTGCTGAAGGTCTTGTCTCATCAGGAGCTCAGAAGGCAATCAAGGAAATAGGTAATAGGTCACAGGGAGGGGAAGGAAAACATCTTCCCCCCCTCCCCCCTTGAGTGGAGGAAGGGGGAAGAAAAAGAAAAATAATTCATCCCAGGATCAACAGGATCTATTTCCACACTTTTCAACACCATGATGGTACCACTTGGCTGAGGACTGTTGTCAGAAAGTTCAGTGTGGAATAGGGTATGGAAGGCAGAGAGTTTTTGGTGACAATGAGGCTCCTAGGATTTGAAAAAAAAAAACAAAACAAAATACAAGTGCAAAAAAGCAACTATAAATAATTTTGCAAAAATCCTAATATTTAGGATAAATAATTTGAATTGATACTAGAGTTTCTAGTAATTATGTAAAAAGATAGCAGGTGAACATGGGCGGGCTGGAAGAGGCCAGCAGTAGATCTAGGGAGGTCCCCGGCCCTCCATATTTCTAGATCAAATTGAGGACAACAGTGCCAAGAAAATTCTTTTCTAGATTAAGCTCCTCCGTACCTTAAGGTCTGAATGAGTGGTTCCTTCCCACCACCTTAAGGTCTGGTGAGAATCCTCCCCCCCCCTGCCCCACCCCTCTTCTTAACTGAAGGTTCCGATCTGCCACTGTAGGCTCCAGGTCCTATATCAGAGCTATACAGAGACACTACACTAATACAATCTGCAGGACCATTTTTTTTTTTAGAAACTTGAGCATATGTCTGCCTGAGCTTGTAATAGTGATCACCAAGCTACAAGAAGTATGACCTGAAGTAAATTAGGAACCTGTCATTTTTTAGAGGGGGGGGGGGCAGGGCTGGTGCAATTCTTTTTTCCCAGGTGAATTTTTTTTATGCCCTCCCCCAATTTCCTGCAGAAAAAAATGTAACCCTCCCCCTTGTATGGCCCAAAATAGTTATGACCCTCCCCACGCTAAAAGGTATGACAGGGATTATTAAAAGAGATCAATACGACATTCAGGAACAGGTATCTATTAAAGATCACCTCATGCATTGAAGCAATGTTGAGCACGAACAATCCTGGTGCTGCTGGAAAATTTTACACGACCGACTATGTTCTTGTCCCAGCTGATTAGTTAATACTGAGGGCGAACATTATGAAGCTCAGTGAGTTACTAGAGAACATATTAGATATGGATAGACTCATTAAAGCTCACCTTAACACCCTGTTTCACTCAAAGACTGGTAATTTTATATGAGGAGAAGAGTATTCTAAATCGTTTGATGAAGCTGTTATTACAAGGCTTGATGAAGCTAAAAAAAGAGTAAACAGTGAATTGAAATATCTTAATGAGAAACTTGATCAATGCAAAGACATGTTTCGCAGTGTGTTGCTGTTGAAAAACAAATCAAGAAAAAGACGTACATGTAGGGTTGTTGGGTAGTTCAGGTTGATCATTATGAAAGTTTAAAATGCTTAAATAATATATTTTATTTGTTGATTTATTTTTATTTTAAGTGAACAGCAATGTTTGCTAAAAATGGTATGGCCCTCCCCAAATCCCAGCTTAAATTTTTGGTAACCCTCCCCTTTTTGGCTACATAAAATTTAATGACCCTCCCCCCAACTGCACCAGCCCTCCCCCGCCTCTAATAAATGACAGGTCCCTTATGTGTTTTTTACTATTGTTAACACTTGGAATCAACTACCCATAAAATTACAAGATGGTTAACTGACCTTAACCAGGAGCTCATCAAATTTGATGGGCTCCTGCCTTAACTGTATTTGTACCCTCTTTGTAAAAGTAACAATCATGTTTGTATTGGGAAGTTCAGTAATAATAATCCAGATGGCCAAAACTTCCATATTTTGGCCATTCTTATTCTGAAGTATTCACCTTATTCTGAGCTATCCAAACAGATACTTTGCTATGAATCTGTATGAATAAGCTTTACACGGCAGTCGCGGTAGTGGTACTTTAATTAAACAGACATTGTTTGCTCCTTGCACTAAATTCTTACAAAAAGAACGTGAAAAACAACTAACCTCGATGTAGGCTTTGATCCATATTTTGGAGTAACCATTCTCATCTTAGCCTTTTCAGTCTTTGTATACTTAGTCTTTCAACACCAACAAGGTCGTAAAGAGTCGGAGCGATTTGCCGAAAAATAATTTTATTCAGTTCCAGTCTCCGAGCGGATACCTGATTTTGGAGTATCCATTCTAGTCGCGACCATAATCTATGGGTATGGGGCTCTGTCCAACGCGCGCTTCGCGCGCCTGGGAGCCCCGCTACTAATAAGCTGATTAAAAGAACGGTACGTTTGTACTGACCTGCTCTGATTGTGCACTAGCCGTCAATTTTCAGGTGACCAGGAACGCGAGCAGGACACATTGTCAAGAATGACAAATAGACCCGCCGTCGATGACGATTTCTCTTCATTCTCTGACTTCTTTTTTTTCTATTGTTCAAAAACAAATGAAGTAGCAGATTTTAGAAAAGGGATCCAATCATACGAGAATACGGTGGGCGTAATGTATCGGTCAAATCGAAGCTTCAACATGCCCCCCCCGGGCAACCCCCCGGGCATTTGACTTTTTTGAAATGTTTTGTTCAAATTCCCCCCTACCCGGGCCAAGATGCCGTTCAAATGCCCCACACTAGGGTCCATTCAGGTGATCAAATGCCCCCACCCCGGGGACATTTTACAGGCACAAAAATGACAGAAGGACGGCGGAAACGCCTTCAGTTGTCGAACAAAATCTTTATAAATATAACAAAAACTGAGAAACACGGTTAGCGTATTTACTACGAACAAAAGTCTCGTGCAAAGCGGCGGAAATCGCTGCTACAAGGTCACTGAATGCTCAGCTTTTCTTCGTCATGCAACATACAAAGCGTTGTATAAAAAAAGATCCCACCTATTGAGATTACTTCATCATGACCATTTCACTGGCCTGCATCATTGCTCATCTTATTAATTAACATACTTACAGTAGGTAAAAGTAGTTGACCTGAGCTTTTTATTTTATTTTATGTTGTTGTATTGAATCGCCAGTATAGGTGTTGTATTTCATTGTAAACTCAACAATAAAATACATTCATACATTCAAAGCCTGAATCCAATATTAAAAGTTTTAAAATTTAAATACTTCAAATACGGCACAAAGCTTGTTTAAGCCCTTTCCTCGTAGACAATTGGCCACAAAGGCACAATCTTTTCCACGAAAATCCTCTAACGCCGCGTGGGAAAAGATTTTTTGGGACCACTTTTCAAAAAGCTAGGTAACCATTCAAGTCTTTACGAGTGAAACCTGGGCTCCAACCAGGCTCAAAAATGGCGGAAAATGTGATTGTCTATGTGACTGCGATTTATGAACACCTCAGTTTACAAGACGGAATTCGCATTGTTCTTGGATAAAAAGCGTACAGATGAGTTTCATCACAATACAGGAGAGGTACGTTCATATTGTAGAGTAATTTACGTTTTTCTAGTTCGCTTTAAGGTTGGTGATGAAGAAATGGTCCCAAAATATGCTGCCAAGTCTCCTACACGATAATTTGGGAACACTTTTTACTTTGCCGAACTATCTTAAATTTTTTGAAAGTGAGAAGTACGTAAAAACTGGAGAAGAGATTGTTTATCAGCTTTAATACTTTATAATCTCAATTCTTATGCAGAATTCAATTTACCACAACCCCATTTACATTGGGTTAAAAAAAACATGTTGAATCATGATATCCTATCACAAAGTTTTAATACTAATACAAGTAGGTGGGAGCCCAATGTTCACCTAACTTTGCTGTTTGGTGAGGTAGTAGGGTTGGCTTTGTTGGATGCTGATGTTTGTTGGGAAGCAGAGGCTTGGCTTTTAGGTGAGGTAGTAGGAGTGGCTTTGTTGGCTAATGATGTTTGTTTGGCAGAGTAGGCTTGGCTGATTGGTTTGGTAGTAGGCCTGGCTTTGTTGGATAGTGATGTTTGTTTGGCAGCAGAGGCTTGGTTGATTGGTGAGGTAGCAGGGGTGACTTTGTCGGATACTGATGTTTCATTGGTCATAGAGACTCTGTGTGGAGTACTTGTTGTGCTCATTTGGCTTGATGCTGCTGTGGTTCTTTTGAGTGTTTCTTTCCTGGTTTGAGTACTGGGAACTTTTATGTCCATTGATAGTGCATTTCTTGCTATGTCAAGAATAAGAGAGTACCTGAAATTAACTATGTCTGGGTGAGAAAAATCAAGTGGCAGACCCACAGAAATGTGCTGTGCCCATTTGGCTACAAATACTCCACAGTCATCACTGTTCAGTTGCTGTGGTATGTCAGAGGAGGGAATCGCGAAATATTTCCAGTCATGCATGTCCCAGTTCCTTCCCAAAATAGAAGCCGAGGAGGTCAAAAAGTTGTTCATTCTTGAAAATGCCATTTTTGCACCTGCACCATTATATAGGGAGTCCAAGTATATGGACATCTTCTCTTTCATGCTTACAACAACCAGACACCAGTGCCTACCATGGTTGAATGGTGCGAGAATGACCTCTGAATCAAAGATGTTAGGATACAATTGGTGAAAGTTGTATTTTTGAATGTCTCTGTCGAAGATGTAATCATCCTTGTGAAGATGTCTGAGTTAAGGGTCCTGACCTTGTTGCCAACTGCTGTGGCCTTCTCCTCTATTAGTAAGAAGATCTTATTAAGGACAAAGTTGTTCAGCCAAGATCCTTCCTCTTCTTGTCCTGGCAAAAGTCTACGTAGGTCTTGCTCTTGCCAACCTTTTGTTCTGGGATGGTCTTGGATGGTATGCCCCATGGTCACAATTAGTTCAGCTTGCTCTTTTTCTGAGTCGCATATTGACATGTACTGTAGTGCAGGGCTTCCTTTTGCAGTTTTACAAACTGCTGCAGTTTGCACATCAAAACACGGTTCGGTGATGTAAAAGGATGGTGGAGTAGCTTGCTGGATTTGCATGTTTTCCTTGGAAGGATTTTGCTTGCTGTCAGTTGCTGATGGAAAAGAACTCAGGTTGTGTGGTACTTCTACCTCAGGGACATCAGAAGCATCAGCCTTTTCATAAAATAATAGATATGCTTGTTGGCTAGTGGCCTCAAATGCAGTGCATTCTTTGATACGAGCATCATCAGCACAATACCACAACCCATTCCTTTTCATGAAGCAGACATAGTGACCTGAAGATAGATTGTTTCCGAGGTGCACTACAACAGCGACAAGCTCGTAAGGTACTAAAGCACTTCCTGTTGACCCTGATTTATCCGCCCCACTTACTTCAGTAAGTGTGAGGGTTTCATCATACTTTACTGTTTGCTTGATCTTATCACCACTGGAATTGAAACGCAAGAGTTGGAGACAGATGGTATTAGGTACTTTGCCAATAACCAAACGCTTCCAAGCTTCAGTTTGATCTTTGCAGCTAGTAAAAGAATATTAAATAATTGTGAAAAAGGACGTGCTTTCAATCTTTAAGTGAAGAAATTTTAAAAAATAAGATACCGTATTTCTTCACCTATAAGCCGAGCGATTTTTTCAGTTTTCAACCCAAAATTTTGGGAGATTTTTCACGAAGAACGGGGTTCGGCTTGTAGCCGAGGGTTTTAGATTTTAAAAATATACAGTTGCTGAATAACTTTACCCCCCGGCTTGTCGTCAAGTTAGCAATGAAGCAGAAGTAATAAAACACAACAAAAATAACTTCTGAATATTGGTTAGTCACTTTTATGAAATTGGTGCAATGACGAAGCGGTGAAACCGCACAACATTCTCTTCGAGGTCGGCGGGCAATCGCTGGGCCAGAGTTGTTTTCGTTTGCATGCTGACCGAGTGGCGTTGTTTCCATTTCTCGTACCATCCACGGGAAGCTTTGAAAGAAGGATCATCGGTGAGCTCTTTAGCTTTAAGGCGAAGCATCAATCCACTCACAGCAATACCTACGAAAAATAAAATAACAATCTTATTTTGATGCGAGATAACCGTAGATTCGTGACTGCAGCACTCTTTTCGTGACATGTTATGAAATTGTCATGACAACAACACATTTCTGGCCAATCAAAGTCTCTGTTTCCCACGCACTGAAAGACGATATCATTCAACTCTACAAAAACTCTTACACGTTCCGATAAACAAAGTAAATACCAACCTTGTTCTCTTTGCTGTGAAAACCACTCCATCACTTGCTGGTCTAGTTCGCGATATTTCAGAGTGAAACGGCCCATCGTCGCACGTTTTGCAGACATCTTCAGCTCACCAGAAAGAATAGTCGCCTGGTTTCTTCTCCAGGGTCGTACCATGGACTCGCTTAGTCCATATTCTCGAGCGATTTCCGAGTTGTTTTCTACCGCTTCAGCTTCCGATAACTTTTATCTTGAAAGCCATACTATACGTGGAACGGCGTGCTTTAGGCATGATGATAAAAGTAACGGCGACGAAAGGGATACTCGATCGATTGATACTTTGAAACGTTTAACTGAGATTGTTGTTGTGGTTGATCTGTTGTCTCTTCATTGGTTCGCTTTTTTTCTTTTGTGTTTATTGTAATTCATTACGTTTTGTGTTCAGTGAGTGAATTTCTTATGTTTTCTGTGAGGTTCGCTTGCTCAAATGGCCAGTTACAATCAATAATTTCGCTCTCGGCTTATAGCCGATGGTTTTACTTTTTTTTTTGGGCAGCCTGAGTCTAGTGGAAAGACCCTGACTTTCAGGGTCTCGGCTTATAGCCGAGATCGGCTTATAGGTGAAGAAATACGGTATCTTATAATTGCATGTTAATATTGTGTTACAACTCTGTATTTAACATCATTTTAATCCTTATTTTTTTTTCTTATTTTGTACATTTATTGATCCTATTTGTCATGTATTTCTTTTTTTTTTTTGGCTTTGCAAGAGTATTTCCACATCATTGTCCTAGGAATGTAATTATCTGTTTTGTTTCCATTTTTTCCCGTTTCTAGTATAATGGTACTCATCCTTTTTTGCATAATGTTATCAATTTTATCACATATTGAGTGTGTGCAAGCCAATAGCCAATCCCAATGTTCATTCACTTTTCCAGTATTATTTCAGCAGCAGCACATGATCCCCCTGTAGAGACTTTCAAAAGGATAGCAATGTATGGATTTCGAGATCAATGATATTACAAGAAATGAAGCCTCAGGTCCACGAAACCCATGTAATAATCAACTATTGATCCATGTTAGTTACACGCAGGAAAGTGACAGTCATGTACAGCTTACTTGTAGCACATATATGGTGTCTCCAGCTGTACTGGTTGGCTATGCGCCTTTACAAGCTCCTGAAGACTGCTTCCCTAATGAAAATGTGATTAAAATCATTTGAATAGCAGAACAATTGATTTTCCTTGCTACTTTTCCCATTTCCCTTTTAACCCTTCCCTTTTATAATTCATAATTAAAAGAAAGTACAAAGGAGTACAAAGTAATGGAAATCTCCCTATCTTTTCACCCTTAGGCTTATATATTTGTTATTTTCTAAAAAGTTTTGTGGAAAAGTAGACGTAACACCTCCAGGTTAGGAGAAGTCATTCTTTACAGTGCAAGTGTTTGATCTCTTGTGACAAACCAGCCTTATATGTATGTTTTGTGGCTTTCATAGTAACACTGTATTTTCCAAGCGGCTTTCATTATTGACTTTTGACCCCTGTGATGGTTAATTTGGCAAGTAATTAACAAGATGTGATCAGTATGTTAACCATGATTGTTTAGCATGCTTTCAAGATGTCTTTTCAGAAAATAAGCCACCATATCAGTGATCATTTGCTGAGACCTAACATATCTTCTCTTTTCTACTTCTTCATTATACTACACGTAGGTTGTTACCTGGGCAAGGTGAAGAGGAAGAAGTGTCTCCATGCTAGAGTTGCAGCTCACAGTGTTACACTTCAAGCAAAGTATTTCACTTCTCAGATTGAAAAAAAATGTTTTCAAATATGACAAATCAATGTGCTGGGGAATGAAACCATTGTTTTGGCACTCGTTGAATCTATAGCCAAGATAACGACAGTATTCCTGAAAGAACTCAGCAGCACATTGTTGTACCCCTTTTTGAAACCTGGAGTTTATGTTGGGAAGCATGCTCATAAGAGTAGCTGGATAAACTAAACCAGGAGCAGTCTCATAGGCAGTGGTGAAGGATTTGGTGCTACACACAATGCAAGGTTTTCCTGTGGAAAATCAATTAGAGCAGAACAGAAAACTTTGGATTGCTGGGGAAGATAAATACAAGTTATTTTGACTAGGATTATTTTTTTTCCCTTGCTGATCACTTGTACTTGATTGGAATACTTCAGAGGGGTGGGGGAGTTACATAGTGTTCTGTTCTGTTTTACCAATGAAGTGGACAATTTTTTCTGTTGATTTAATGGTACTTTTATTCCATGTGTAAATTATTGTTTTTTAAATACAGACAAATATATTTATACACGAGGAGCTTGTGACACCCTAGAAAGTTTGTAGGAGTTATTTTCAGTATTTCCAGTTTCTGCCAATGTGAAGGTTTTGATAAGGTTCTGTGTTGCACTTCAAAATTGTTATATTATTACTCCAACATCACAATCAATAAAATTATTATACCAAGAATGCTTTAAAGCATTAATAGCCTGTTGAAGTTTAATTCTGCCTGGTGGTGTTCATCACATTTTGCCTACTTATACATAACAATATTAGATGATAATAATAATAACAGAGGCATAACCAACTTTTCCACTAGTTGTAAGCCTGGTCTATTGCCGCCAATAATTTCATTTCACATGTCCTGAGAAATTCTGGTTTACAACTCTCTTGATTGCAAGCATGACTGGTATGCACTGAACTGACCTAAATTTAGAGCTTTTTGGCTTGCCCAGACAACACATAAATTAGGCCACATTTGATATATTCAAATATAACTCTAACATGACTCCAAGGATTTCTGGTCATTCCTCTATATTTGGTCTCTTTTTTTTGTGCTCAAGTCTCCAGGAATTGGGAGACAATTGGGTTGCGAGAAATTTGCAGTTTCCACCCTAAAGCCTTGGAGTCATGTTAGAATTTTTTCATATATCAAACTTGGGTTATTTATTACAAGTGGTTGAGTGATCCAACAAAGAAAATGTAGGCCCAGGCTATGCCCCTAAATAAATATAATTATATTATTGTTATTATCATTTTTATTATAAGATAATGTCCAAGGACTGAGCTTATTTTCTGCAGAGGCTTTTGAGTGAATAAAACTGAACCAATATTCTTCCAGTGACCAAGTTTTCTTTTTTTGTGAACTTTGGGCTGAAATAACTATTTAAGTGGGGAATGGGTGAAGGAAAACCAAACAATTTTTTTGGCTCTTTAGGCCTCAGTGTAGTCTAAAAATGGGAGGTGGTGGGTGTCCCCCACCCCACCCCACTAGATCCACCACTGCAATAGCAAAGGTCACCCCTTTGAAATAGTTGAGTGTGAGTATGCACCTGAGCAGTCTAGGAGAACTTCAGATATACTTGCATGATGTTCAAAACTGACGAGCATACTTTCCTAATAAAAAAATATACAAGAAAGGAAAAAAGGGGACTACATCTCACCTGTTCTTCTGGCAACACATTTGTCTCTGCTATGTTCAGTGCCTTCAAGGCCCTTTGAAAACCTTTTCACTGATAACAAAGCTTGCAAAACACTATTTGCAAAGCAAGTATTATTTAAATTCTGAATGCCTTTCGGTTTCAGACACATGATGTACACCGATCCTTAGGGAAGTGAAATGGAGTAGCAGACTATAAACTTTACACCGGACAGAAAAGTTTTGTTATCTGTCGTCGACAGGCAACTAAACAGAAAGAACTGTGCGCCAAATTCCCGTCAAAAATATTAAGTTACAGAGAAAAATGTACATAGAAACGTCATAACTGTAGTATCTCGGATTTCAAAGTGGTCCCAAATTATCTCTGTTGTGACTGTCCAAATATTTTGGGAACACTTTTTACTTCGCCACGGGTAATCTTTCTTCATAATCTTCTGGAACAATTGGTGTCCTTCTCTTCCAACATTCCAAGCTTTAATCGCTGTCGTTCCGCCACTGAAATGAAAGGAAAGCTTGCTCGAAGGGAGCGAAAAGAAGTGAGAACTAGTTTCCGCCATTTTGGAGCCCTATTGGAGCCCAGGTTCCACTCGTAGAAACTTGAATGGTTACCAAGCTTTTGAAAAGTGATCCCAAAAAATCTTTTTGCGAACCTGCACGCCGCGTCCCCCATGATAGGTCGCCACGCCAAAGAGTTTACATGAAATCGAGGGTGCAGTTCAAATTCCCCACCCCTAAAGCATGGGGATCAAATTCCCCACCCCCTAGAAGACTCTGATAATCAAATTCCCTCCTCCCCGGGACGGCAAAGGAGTCAAATGCCCGGGGTATGCCCGGGGGGGGGGGGCATGTTGAAGCTTCGATTTGACAGATACATAAACTGTAGACACACAACACATCGAACTGTAAAAAGGGTAACCTGCAAAGGTCAAACATCTCTAGTGATTAACATGCAACTTTGCAGGCTGTCAATTACGTGCTAACGGATTGGCTGTAGGATTTCGGGATTTGCCGCTTTGGATTTCACTGATTTCGGGCGGATTCCAATGTTTACGATGGGCAGAAAAGTTGAAATTGTTTCTTTCGCCATCCGTTTTTATGGGATCTTTTAGCAGCTATGAGTTATTCCGAGGCTAGATGGTGTTATTCATTATTCCTGATTTTCTAACTCCAAAAATTCATTATTCATTTTCT